TATAAATTTGATAAGCAAAGAGATACATTTCCTACAAAAATTGAAATAGTTGAGAAACATTTCTTTGCATCAACCATTCATGAAGCAATGTCAACTTAACTCTGCATCAGAGAGGGATCCTCTGTTCTCTCTCCACCCAAAATTTGTCTCCTTCAACTAGCTTCTCAATATATGTAAGTTAATTGAAAATAATACCATATATTCTAACCTCTGATCACATTATTCCGGAATCCTGGAGAGTATACAGTAATGTCCACCAGCAACATTCAATTCACATTTCAGTTAAGATAAAAAGTTGTGATATTGAGTAGAATTAGTTATTGGTTAACAGCTTTATCAAAGTTAAAAAGGTAATACAAATTATTCTCAATTCAAAACCTCTCCAAATCATTGGATTACTATGAATGCATGATTTCGATTGAATTCTGGTTTTACATTCAAGCCTTACAGTATAAACAGGGTTCCTACTTTCCTTTACATACACAATGCAGTGCATTTTATTTTGCATATCGGATTATAGTTTACACAACTTAAAAAGACTTTAGCTTCACTTTGAATACTGAACAACATAACTGCAATACTAAAGTTTGTTGTGACAACTTATACAAGTTTGAACTAATAACATTAGAAAATTGGAAATTGAATTGACTGGACGAGCGCCTTGTAATTTTCACAGCCTAGTTAACTGTATTCACAAGTAAAATAAAAATAGACTAATAAATCTATATTATAATAAATATTTTTTGGTAAGTCTGAATCATAAGAAGGAGATCTATTAACAAGAATTAAAAAAAAAATAAAAGAAAAAACACTCGGAATAAGTAGATGTGATGAAACTTTGACACGACATTAGAAACAATAAAATAAAATATTCAAGTATGCATACATTAGAAACAATAAAATACAACCAACAAATGAAAATAGGGAAGAAAGAAATTGGAGTAATGTGAACCTGGGTACGGAAAACTTGCGGGAATCATGATGTAGGCCTTGAAAAATAAACGAAGAAGCAACACAACACCCACCAATGCATTAGCAAGAGAATCTGCTATCACATTTTCTTCAACACAAAAAAGCATTATCATGTGATGACATTTATTCATCAAGATGAACCTCTTGGACATGAGCAATCTTCGACTGATTGCGTCTGCAGCTTTCACTCAGAGCAGGACAGCCTTGAATCTTCAGTTTTCTGAGGACAGTAAGGCGTTGCATCCCTTCTGGAAGACATGACAAGCTCCAGCAATTTAAAATCTCCAGTGTTTGAAGTGACGTGAGATTTTGCAGCCACTCCGGTAGTTCTTTTAGCTTGGGACATCCTTGAATCATTATGCACTCTAAGGTGTTTGCCGATCCTTGAAGAATAAGCTGAGGCAAATCCACTAACGATCGCAAATTGATAACTATAAATTTTCGAACTCCCAAGCAAAGGTTGTCTTTGTCTTCTCCTTGAAATTCCATCTTCAGGTTAAGGTCTGAACAGTTATGAATAGCTACCTTCTCTAATCTCTTAAGGTACTTGATACTGTATGGCAAAGAGGTCAGGGAACAATGTTGAATAACCAATGTTTGGAGGCTTGTGAGACCTTGCATCCCTTCACACAATCTTACTAGATTCTGGCAGTCAGCTAAGAGCAAAAATTTAAGAGAACTCAAACGTCCGATTCCAGTTTCTCTTAGATACAGCTCTTTTGTGGTTATTTCCACGTGCCTAAGGGAGATCATCCTTCGAATATTCCTAGGCAACTTCTTAAGCTGAGAACAACAATAAAGTCTGAACGTATCCAACTTCTGAAGCTTACAAATAGATTCAGGAAGTTTCTTCAACGCAAAATTAAATGATAAGTCAAGGTATCTCAGATGTATCAACGAACCGACAGAGTTTGGCAAGACTTCAAAAGGCATGTCACATAAGGTTAGCAGTCGAAGGTGCTTGAACTTAAATATGCATGTACCGATAAATGATACACCAATATGCTCGTTTCCTTGCAGAAAAATAAGGGACCGTACCGTCTTTGATCCATTATCTAAAACTTCTGGAGTTTTTTGAGCGTTGAAATCAGAGTCAATAATTGAAAAGTGCCGAACGCTCCCATCAACTATTTGGCTTCTGGATTTTATAACGGCACACTCACTTTTTGCCACTGATATTGCAAGATCATGCATAAGATCATGCATTTTAAAATTATAAAATAAATGATAACATTCCGTAAAATCCTCTAAGAAACACCTTGAGCATAACTCCTTCATACAACGCACAGCAACATCTTCTAACTCTTCAATATCATCATTAGAGGTTGCAAGGAGTCCATGTGCCATCCAATGTCGGGTCACGTAATCACTGTCATAGATATAATCCTTTGGAAATAAGGAAAGATAAGCAAAACATTGCTTCAAGTGAGACGGCAAATTATCATAGCTCAGTTTCAATACTGGTAAGATGTCTTCCTTTTCCTGTTTCAGCTGCCAGATGTCACTTCTTTTTATTCTTAACCACTCATCTTCATCTGTGTTTGCAAAAAGTAAGCTCCCTAAACTTCTCATAGCTAAAGGAACTCCTTTACATTTTCCGACAATGTCCTTAGCAATTTTAATGAGGTTTGGAAAATCTTTCCCTTCTCCATCTTTAAATGCGCACTTTTTAAACAAGGATAAAGAATCCTCTGGTGAAAGGCCTTCTATGAAATGTGGGGAAACGGTGCCCACTATCTCGGCAACAATTCTACTGCGTGTACTAACAATAATTTTACTTCCATTGACACCATTTAGCAGTAAATTTCCCAGATCCATCCATTTCATTCGATTTTCATTCCAAACATCATCTAAAACAAGCAAAAACTTTTGACCAGCCAAAATTTCTTGCAAACGCCTGGGTATTTCATCGGCTTTTAACTTAGCACAATCCTCATCTGTCGCAGAATAAATAATTTCTTTAATCAACCTAACAACATCAAAGTCGTCGGAAACACATACCCACATCTTTAACACAAAATGCCTATAGACCCTCTCATCATTGTAAACCATTTTAGAAAGAGTGGTTTTACCCAAACCCCCAATCCCAACTATAGGAATGACGGAGACATTAACATCGCCTGGTTGTGTCAAAAAGGTTATGATGTTTTCTTTATCCTTCTCTCTTCCAATGACATCAGAAGCTTGGAAGAAGGAATTAGTCTCCCTCTCCTTGGGAATTACACGCCTCACGTCAACATGACTCTCAATAAGATGAAATTTCAGCCTATCATCTGCGATCTCATCTAACCTTTCTCTAATCTCCTTGATCTTGTGACCAATTTTAATAAGATTAGAGCTTGAAAAGCATTGACATACCTTTAATGTTGAGCTCCCCTGTTGTGATCTCCTGGAAGCTTGAAAGTCGAATTCATCTAAAACGTCCTCAGCATCATAAAAAACATCCTTAAGCTTCGCAAGCCAATCACGCAGCTGATGGTTTTGAGTCTGCTTTGTCTCGGCATCCAACAGCACAGCTCTGATGGCGCTCATGGTTCCCTCAAGTCTTCTTAAATCAGTATCCAGATTCCACAGCAACGACAATTCCCCACCAACAAGGGAACCTATCTTCTTCAAAATTTCAGTGGCAGTGCCAAATACAATGGATTCAGCCATATGTTCTTTGAAGAGAGCGAAAATCAGGTAGTTTAAGAGAAATGAAATAGCTAAGAATGGATATTTGAGCGTATTCAGCTAAAACTAAAACCTTGAAAGTCAACATATACAATTCTCGAGATTCCCGCTGTCAGAATGAGACAACCTAGTGTATTATTATTATTTTGTAGTGGTTAGTGATTTTCTTCTAATGGTATCTAATAAAATAAAGTAAATAGTCGGAAGAAACTGACGTGGGTACTTCTAATAATATAATAAATTAGAAATTTAAATAAATATATTATTTATTCTTTTACTTTTCTCTCATTAAACAAAAACTCCTTTTTAAATCAAAACTTTTCATACAAAATTATAAACAGAAATCAATAATTGAGACAAACACTTTGAAACAAATAAAGTAGTAGTAGTTTAAAGTGGTTTTATCTATTCGTAGAAAAATAAATTTAATATTTTTTAATTTTTTATTGTTTGTGATTCTAGACAACACCGTTTTTTCCGCATTTTTAAATATTGGTTTTCAGACAAACATATAAAACACATTTTTTTGTTTTTATGTTTTTCAATCATTCTCAATATTTTCAAAAAACCTAAATACAAAAACTCAAAATTCAAAAATTCGATATCAGAAAAGATGATTAAATTTCTATGAGTCAATTTAATCATCTTTTCTCTAATTATTTATTTTAAAAGTTGAATTTATTTCGCATAATGAAATCTAAACTATTGGGTTATTATAGTGTATATTTAGATGAGATATGCTCATTTTTTTAGTTAGTTTTTGATGAGGAAAAAAAAAAAAAACACATGTTATAACTATTTATATAATAGAATAATAACCTTTTTTTTTTTTTCATATCAAACATTAATAATAAAATTGTTGTGACAACTTAAAGAATATAAAAGTTTGAACTAATAACATTAAAAAATTGGAAATTGAATTGACTGGACGAGCGCCCTTGCAAGTTTCACGGCCTGGTTTAACTATATTCACAAGTAAAATAAAATAGACAAATAAATCTAAATTATTATTATTATTATTTTGGTAACTCTGGATCATAGAAGGAGATTTATTAATAAGAAACATATAAAAAGAAAAAAAAAAAAAAAAACAACGGGAATAAGAAGATGTGATGAAGCTTGGACACTATAAATGTCATGGTACAAAGGAAATATAAAATATTCAAACACGCATGCATTAGAAACGATAAAATACAACCAACAAATGAAAACAGAGAAGAAAGAAGTTGGAGTGATGTAGGCCTTGAAAAATAAAAGAAGAAGCAACAGAACACGCCACCAATGCTTTAGCAAGAGAATCTGCTATCACATTTTCTTCAACAGAAAAAAAAAAAAGCATTATTATGTGATGGCATTTATTCATCAAGATGAACCTCTCGGACATGAGCAATCTTCGACTCATCACGTCTGCAGCTTTCACTCAGAGCAGGACAGCCTTGAATCTTCAATTTTCTGAGGACAGTAAGGCGTTGCATCCCTTCTGGAAGACGTGACAAGCTCGGACAATTTAAAATCTCCAGTGTTTGAAGTGATGTGAGATTTTGCAGCCACTCCGGTAGTTCTACTAAATTGAGACAACTTTGAATCATTATGCACTCTAAGGTGTTTGCCGATCCTTGAAGAATAAGCTGAGGCAAATCCACTAACGATGGCAAACGGGAAATTATAAATTTTCTAACTCCCAAGCAAAGGTTATCTTTATCTTCTCCTTGAAATTCCATCTTCAAGTTAAGATTTACACAGTCAATAATCATTACCGTCTCTAATCGCTTGAGGTACTTGATACTATATGGCAACGAGGTCAGGGGACAAACTTGAAGAACCAATCTTCGGAGGCTTGTGAGACCTTGCATCCCTTCACACAATCCTACTAGATTCCTGCAGCCATATAAGGTCAAAAATTTAAGAGAACTCAAACATCCGATTCCGTCTTCTCGTAGAAACCACTCTTTTGTGGTTATTTCCACATGTCTAAGGGAGATCATCCTTTGTATCTTCTTAGGCAACTTCTTAATCCCATCACAGCCAAAAAGTCTTAACGTCTCCAACTTCTGAAGCTCACAAATAGATTCAGGAAGTTTCTTCAATAAATGATTATATGATAAGTCAAGGTATCTCAAATGTATCAGTGTCCTGACAGACTTTGGCAAGACATAAAAAAGTACACGGTTTAACGACAGCAGTCGGAGGTGCTTGAACTTGAATATGCAGGTATCGATAAATGATACATCAATATACTCGTAGTTTTTCAAAAAAATTACGGACCGAACCGTCTCTGATCTATTATATAGAACTCCTGGAGGTTTTTGATGGTTGACAACAGAATCAGTAATTGAAAAATGCCGAACGCTCCCATCAACTATTTGGCTTCCGGATTTTATAACAGCATACTCACTTTTTGCCACTGATATTGCAAGATCATGCATAAGATCATGCATTTTAAACTTATAAAATAAATGATTATGTTCTGTAAAATCCTCTAAGAAACACCTTGACCATAAATCCTTCAAACAACGCACAGCAACATCTTCTAACTCTTCAATATCATCATTAGAGGTTGCAAAGAGTCCATGTGCCATCCAATATCCAGTCACGTCAGCGCTGTCATAAATATAATCCTTTGGAAATAAGGAAAGATAAGCAAAACATTGCTTCAAGTGAGATGGCAAATTATCATAGCTCAATTTCAATACAGGTAAGATGTGTTCCTTTTCCTGTTTCAGCTGCCAGATGTCACTTCTTTTTATTCTTAACCACTCATCTTCATCTGTGTTTGCAAAAAGTAAGCTCCCTAAAGTTCTCAGAGCTAACGGAACTCCTTTACATTTTTTGACGATGTCCTCAGCAACTTTAACGAGGTTTGGAAAATCTTTCCCTTCTCCATCTTTAAATGCGCACTTTTTAAACAAGGATAAAGAATCCTCTAGTGAAAGACCCTCTATGAAATATGGGGAAACGGTGCCCATTATCTCGGCAACAATTCTATTGCGTGTACTAACAATAACTTTACTTCCATTGACACCATTTCGCAGTAAATTTCTCAGATCCATCCATTTCATTGGTTTTTCATTCCAAACATCATCTAAAACAAGCAAAAACTTTTGACCAACCAAAATTTCTTGCAAACGCCTGGGTATTTCATCGGCTTTTAACTTAGAACAATCCTCATGTTTTGCAGAATAAATAATTTCTTTGATCAACCTAGTAACATCAAAGTCGTCGGAAACACATACCCACATCTTTAACTCAAAATGCCTATAGATCCTCTCATCATTGTAAACCATTTTAGAAAGAGTGGTTTTACCCAAACCCCCAATTCCAACTATAGGAATGACGGAGACATTAACATCGCCTGGTTTTGTCAAAAAGGTTATGATGTTTTCTTTATCCTTCTCTCTTCCAATAACATCAGAAGCTTGGAAGAAAGAATTAGTCTCTCTCTCCTTGGGAATTACATGCCTCACGTCTATATGATTCTCAATAAGATGAAATTTTAGCCTGTCATAGGCGATCACATCTAACCTTTTTTTAATCTGTTTGATCTTCTTACCAATATTAATAGCATTAGAGCTTGAAAAGTATTGACTTACTTTTAATGTTGAGCTCCACTGTTGTGATCTGCTGGAAGCTTGAAAGTCGAATTCATCTAAAACGTCCTCAGCATCATAAAAAACATCCTTAAGCTTGGCAAGCCAGTCACGCAGCTGATGGTTTTGAGTCTGCTTTGTCTCGGCATCCAACAGCACAGCTTTGATGGTTCTCATGGTTCCCTCAAGTCTTCTTAAATCACTTTCCAGATTCCACAGCAACGACAATTCTCCACCAACAAGGGAACCTATCTTCTTCAAAATTTCAGTGGCAGCGCCAAATACAATGGATTCAGCCATGTTTTCTTTGACGAGAGCGAGAATCAGGTAGTTGAAGAGAAATGAATTAGCCAAGAATGGAAAGCGTATTCAGCTATTCTGGTAATACTGAAACCTTTAAAGTCGACATGCAGTGAATAAAAAATGCGAGAGAAGTTGGTAAAAGTAACTAACTATCGTGTCTAATAATGGTGTCTAATAAAATAAAGAAAATAGTTGACGTGGGTCCTTCTACCAATATATAATAATTTAATAATTTAAATAAAATATTACTTACTCTCTTACTTTTTTTAATATCTCCTTTTCTCACTTCAAACAAAAATTCTTTTTAAATCAAAACTTATAAATGAAAATCATAAAATTGACATATTTAAAACAAACATTTTGAGACAAACTACCTAGGTGGTAATTTGAATTACTTATTCGGTAGATAATAAATTTTATATTTTTAATTTTTTCTGTATTTTCAAACAAAGATGAAGAACATATTTTCATTTTTCACGTTTTTAAATACTGTTTTTAAATATATATTAAACGCGATTTTATTTTTCACTTTTTTCAATCATTTCTCTTTGGGGAAGGCTTTCTTTGATGAGTGGAATTTGGATGAAGTTGTCGCACCATTCATTCAGCAATGGCAATTTCTCACCATCAACCAACTTCATTTCTCATGATTATATCAATGATCTCATTACTAATAATTCTTTAAAATTGTAAAAATCTGGTTTACAAAGATCATATTACTTCATTTCAACTGAGTAAATAGTTTGACCAACATAATTTAATCTATATAACTTGGTTCAAAAACTATAATAAATCTAGAAAGAAAACAGTTCACCTTATATTTTTCACTTTTAATTTTATCTGTCATCTTGTGCCATCTACCTCTTGCAATATTTAATTATTTAATCACATTTAGTTGTCGTCATCACTGTTGTTCTGTACATAAAAATATCTTTATATGTGTTCGACAGCTGCCCCCGGTATATAACTTTCCCAGGAGTAAAGAAAAAGATCAAAAGGCATTGGTGGAGCTCGGTGTTTACATACAATTATTGTACTACCTCTTTGCGAGAACCACAATTAAATACCATCTAGCTATCATCAGAAAATTAATTTTCTGGTGACTTTGACTTTGGTTCCATCCATTTGTTGACAATGAATGTGAACAGAAGTGAAAGATGAGGATTATCTGTAAGAGCATCTTCTCATCAATTATTCAGCATGAAAGACAAAGACTACCTCTTCAGTCTTCATCAATGGATCAGCAGCTTGAAAGTTCTAAATAAAAGGACTCCAATTTTGATTGATGTGAAAATTGTAGAAAATAATTAAAATGAGGGTTGAGGGGTTCATTCAGGATTATATTACTATTTAGCTAAATACATCATTGCTTGCATAGACAGCACCAATATTATCATTGAAATTGAAATTAACGTAATAATTAAACCAATGAAAAAAATTATAAAGATATATATTAATATCCAAACTATAACTTATCAGGGATTTTGATAATTTTATGAAGGGGGTTTGATATTTTCCAGGGGATTTTTGATAATTGTATGAGTTTTTTTTTTTTAATACTTTTTGAAGGATACGATGACTTTCATTCAATCTTATAGAGAAAAATAAAATAAACCTTTTAGATAAAGTTCATGTTGTGAATTTTCTACCTGAATAATTACCCAACCAAGCTCACGTTTCACCTAATGAACTAATCCCACAAGATTAAGTATCAATCAACCACAAAATTGTTAATAGGCATAAAAAAATAGAGAGAAAAACAAGAAAATGAAAGGAGACAAAGTCCATTATAGTTGTTCGACACTCAAGGCCTACATCCACTCTCCAAGGCAAGGTAACATATCATTTTCAATAGCAACATCCATAGATTTACAGAGTATTATTAACTTTTATATTAAACCTTACAACAAGGATGAATAATTACACATAATAAATTGATAAACCCTAAACCAATCAACAATATCTCTGCCCTCTGTTAACTAAGGGTGAGTTTTTGTACAATCAAAGGGTCTTAGCATCAGTTTCTACTTGAAATCAAGATTCCTTCCAGCCATAGGATGAAGATCGAACTCGATCTTCACAAAATGGTGCGACATTGCAAACAAATCGAGCAATTGAATTTGTTTTGATGTTGCTGAATGAGTGCCACAAGACAAGGATAAAAGTGATCCTCCTTTCTCCAAAATGACACCATTTCAATAAGTCCCCAACTTTGACTTTTCAAAGTTTACAAGCCAAGGAAATGCCTTCTGACTTGACTAAATTGGCAAAGAAATGCCAAACACATCACAATTCTCAACCTTGTTACTTGCTTTGACATACCACCTCCCCTTGCCTTGTGTCACGGGTTGGGAGTTTCATACCCAAAAGGCTAACCTATTAGGTGAAGGGACTCCCCCCATTTACAAGCCCAAAACCTCCCCAATACGCTTCCAATGTGGGATTGGTTACATTCTCTCCCACTCAATCCTGTGACGCCCTCATCACAGGTGGGGCCCCCTATCTACCCATCCACCTCACTCTCGTGTGGACCCACAATCACTCTCGTGTGGACCCACAATCACACGTGGACGCCCCTACGTGGGTGCTTGGCGGGACATCGAAAGACTGATTAGGTCTGCTCTGATACCACTTGTCACGGGTTAGGAGTTTCACACCCAAAAGGCTAACCTATTAGGTGGAGGGACTCTCCCCATTTATAAGCCCAAGACCTCCCCAATACGCTTCCAATGTGGGATTGGTTACACTTGGAATCCTTTATCATCATCATTCAATATGTAATAGGCTCAAACAGAGCCTATGTTTATCAACAGTAAAGCTTTGTAAGCATGTCCCTTGGATTTTTAGAACCAGCCACTTTTTCCACTCTTATTTCACCATTCTCAATGAGTTTCCGAATGAAGTAAAGAAGTACATCTATGTGCTTGTTACGCTCATGGAAAACTTAATTCTTACACAAGTGAATAGCACTCTGGCTATCACTTTGTATCACTACCGGCTTCTGAACAATCCCCAGCTCACCTACTAAACCCATCAGCCATCTTGCTTCTTTTGCAGCTTCAGTAATGGCTACATATTCGGATTCTATATTCTCGTAGATGCCTCTCTTTTGAGGTTATTTCCATGTATCTAGGGGAGACCATCCTTTGCAACTTCTTAAGCCCTGAACAAGAAAGTTTGAGCGTTTCCAATTTTTGAAGCTAACATATAGATTCAGGGAGTTTCTTTAATAAATAATTCCAAGATAGGTCAAGGCATCTAAAGTGTATATGATTTAAATATAACAATCAAAGGTGCTTGAATTTGGATATGCATGTATTGATAAATGGCACACCAATATGCTCGAATTCTTTCCTTGGAAATATAATGGACCTAACTCTATCTGATTTATTAACTATAACTTATGAAATCAGTGTCAATAACTGAAAAATGTCGAACTCAACCATCGAGATGAATCGAACTTTCTGTTTTAAACTCTTCAGTTTTCTGTAGGCAGCAAATGCCCAAACATAATGAAAAAGATGATTCTATTATGCGCTAAACTAAGCATGAGGATGTATAATGTATCTGTCTTTGGATTTTGTAATAACAACTTGAGATCGCTAATATCATCAATCTAGCAAACAACAGAGCAGCTATCAGGGAAATAGGATTTAGAACACTTAACATTTGAAGGCAGGTTTTTTCTCCGAATAAGAGAATGGAAAATGATAAAGTTATCGAAAAGTTTACACCGAATTTGTGCACCGAATGACGTGATAAAATCCTGACCGTTGATTAATATTAACTGATAATAAATCAACGGTCAGGATTTTGTCACGTAATTCGGTGCACACCCGTCAGTAATTGTAGCATTACTCATAAGAGAATACTGGCCTTCATTTTTACATGTATGCGCATCAAAGTTGGGAATTTGAAACCTCCAGAGATCAGTCTGCCCCTTCATTTTTACGTGTTGTCAGCCATAAATTTGTTAATTACTATTTGTATCTTTGCATCAAAAGAAATTTCTTCTTTGTAATGTGTTTAATCTTAGGTTGTTTATCAAGAGACAAGGGAACGTTAAAGCAACAAAAAAATCACTTGTATTACTACTTATATTGTAAAAATATTATAAAAGATATTCATTTCACTGCTATTCACATTATTTTTAAAGGAAATATTTATTATAAGCTTCTCGCTTCACGTTGCAACACTATCCAAGAAAGCATCAGTCGTATTTTGGCTAGCACGGAGGTGGTTGATCAAGTCATCTTTCTTTGAGCATCGGGGTTTTTACAAATTTCTGAGGCCATTCATACAGTGATGGAACTTCTGTGGGTCAAGTAGCTTTATGCCTCCAAGTTCCACTGAAAATTGTAGCCAGTGAAATTATAGATCCCAAAACCAAGTCTAGGAAACACATGGTATCACCGGAAAGTTTCTTCTTTTTAATCTGCTCATTTACAACTCCTCGTTTTTCTTGTGCAGACTAAAGCTTTCTCTTTTCATGTCCTATGGCACAGCAAGCAGCCCAAGCACGGAGCACACCCTGCAGACTCAAGGATGATTAAAGACTCAGAGATTGATTTTCCATTAAGCAGAAGCACCGGTACGTTCTTGTGAACAGGATTACATTGGAGAAGCAGGTTACTGTTCTTTCTCAAGTCTTCTTCTATATACTCATGCGCTACACCCTTGAGCTTTAAAGCCCATACAATTCAGACACAGAATAGGCTCAGTGATGCTCCAATCACTTTCACCTCTTTCATCTTGGAGATATGAAAATCTTTAATCAAACACTAGTTTCAATATAACTAAGCCTTGTATTGTTGATTTATACTAGTGCGGTTCTGAAAAGTATTGCATTTTAAGGCTTGTTCTACTGATATATACTAGTTGGGTTATGAAAAGTATAGCATTTTAAACCTTGTTTTGTTGATTTATAGTAGCGGGGTTCTGAAAAGTATTGCATTTCTTGTCAAAGTATAGCAGGATGTTTCTTGAAAAACAAATAA